AGTCGTTTGACCTTGAAAATTATAAAATTTTTGCCCACTGCGTGTTTCCTGCCCACCTAGTAAAAAACACATGGGCCTCACCTATCCACAATGTCACGAGCCGTCACTGGTTCATTGAAGTGAAGAGAATTTTTTAGTTATTTAATGCTATATATTTTGTTTGTTCTTTTATGGTGTATTTTTATTGTAAATATTTCCAATTGTGAACATCAAGTAGTACCTACGCGAAACTTGTATCAACCAAATAAAAAAAGTTAAATTGGAATTGAATAACTTCATGGAAAACAAAAAGCAAAATTGTATAGACCTTGTATAGTCTAATAGTTTTTAAGTAAACTGTAAAAGAAACTGAAAACCTGTTCAAATTTAGAAATAGGTTTCTGGAGATGGATAAAGTAGGATACTAACTTTGAGAAACAAAATTGCTAATGTATTATTTAAAAAATCCACTTATGGCTAAAATCAAATTTAGTTATATCAAAATAATCATTTTGTAGGTATTTATTTCATGCTAAAATGTGATAAAATTTTAAATAAGAGAGACATAAGGGTGGTTTCATGAAAAGGGAAACATGATGCACCATAGTTACAAAATTCCTTCATACTTCGTGATTTTATGATAAGCTTTAAATATTTTTGTTTTGTTCTACTACCGGAAATAAAATAATTCAATAGAGGGTTTCATTAATCATTACAATTACAAACTCAAAATAGGTACTTACTTTTTGTGTTGTTTAATATAAGAACATTTCCTAAAACTGGTAAAGCTGTAGGTCCAGGTAAACTCAACGACAGACACACCGTTCTGATGTAAGTTTTACAGCAATACAGAACATATATTGCTGACAAAATTATTAAGCAGGATATGTACTCCATTCCGTTCGATTCAAACTAATATCTGAAATAACAAAAGTGTTGGGTCTTTTATGTGTTTTGGTCGTTATACAGTGTCGGTGTTTTTTAAATATGCACGTAGAAACACCGCTAAATGCTGTATAAGCAGGTGAATACTGATTATAGGCCAGGAAAAAAAGCTGAGAAATGACCAATTCACTACTTTTTGTTTCGGCAAGCTAAATATTATGTACAATAACATATTAGTTTCCACATTCATAAAAATGGGAGAAAGATTGTTTACAGGGTGGCTAATTGTATAATTTTTACGTAAATTCACGTTTTTCCCTTCATTTTCACGAGAAAACAGTAAAGTACTTTTTTTTCGTCTTCAAAAAACCTACAAAACTAGCTCTCGAGCGTCAAAAAATATTGATTAGATCAAAAATTATAAACAGAAGAAGTTTATTTATGACTTTTGAATTAAACATTTATAAACTGCGTTATTATTACCAGAACGTTTTGGCATCGCATCCTTTCATTCCTTATCATTGTCTAATAACTCACACGAAATCTGGAATCGGTAAGTTGAATAGTTTACAAGTTATGGCCTTATAAACAAATTAATTAATTATGAGTCTGGACGATCCCGAGGATCTTCCACAATCGCACTGATTTTTTTAAGTGTAGATTTCATAATAATACGTTGAAATCTATCTTTTTTTTTAAATTTCAAATTTGCACCTGGAAATTTTTTTATTTTTTAGCCTTAGTTGCAAAATGAAATATACGACGCACGAGCGTGATATAGTTATATATTATTACATATTCGGAAAGATTATGAAAAGAACATAAGTTAAAAAAAAATCGTCAAGATTCGTTGAAAAACAACGGAGTTACAGTCTGTCAAATATATAATTTTCAAGCGAATTTGGCTTATTTAACGGCAGGACTATGAATATTATCGTTATTTTCTTCAGACTCGCTGTCATTCGTTTCTCCCACCCTTCCGCCGCGCCACGGCTCGCCGAAAATCAAGCGACCCACTGACTTTTCACAGTATTTCTTATGCACTTAACATATTTCCACAAATAAAATATTTTTATCTGGGAAAGTACTCGGGTTGCCGGTTATGACAGTATTTTTTTTCTGCTACCAACCTACTTTGTTTAACAATAGGCCGTCAACTTTGACAGTTCGTGCGTCGTATATTTCATTTTGCAACTAAGGCTAAAAAATAAAAAAAGATCAGGTTGCTTTGAAATTAAAAAAAAATCATAGATTTCAATGTATTGTGAAAAAAAACAGTGCGATTGTGGAAGATCCTCGGGATCGTCCAGACTAATAATTAGTTAATTTGTTTATAAGGCCATAACTTGTAAACTATTCAACTTATCGATTCCAGATTTCGTGTGAGTTATTAGACAGTGATAAGGAATGAGAGGATGCGATGCCAAAACGTTCTGGTAATAATAACGCAGTTTATAAATGTTTAATTCAAAAGTCATAAATAAACTTCTTCNTACCACTGCCACCCCAATTAGAGTGTGTTGATAAAATTTTGACAGAATATTAGTAAAATGATGTAAAACATCCCCATGTAGTTGTCATCCATTGCCTGCCCTCGGAACACCCTTAAAAATTTATTTTATTGCGGAAATATAAGTAATTCAAAAAATTTACCACTGCCACCCCAATTAGAGTGTGTTGATAAAATTTTGTCAGAATATTAGTAAAAGCATGTAAAACATCCCCATGCAGTTGCCATCCATTGGCTGCCCTCGAAACACCCTTAAAAATTCATATTATAGCGGAAATAGAAGTAACTTAAAAAATTTACCACTGCCACCCCAATTAGAGTGTGTTGATAAAATTTTGACAGAATATTAGTAAAATGCTGTAAAACATCCCCATGCAGTTGCCATCCATTGCCTGCCCTCGAAACACCCTTAAAAATTCATATTATTGCGGAAATAGAAGTAATTTAAAAAATTTACCACTACCACCCCAATTAGAGTGTGTTGATAAAATTTTGACAGAATATTAGTAAAAGCATGTAAAACATACCCATGCAGTTGCCATCCATTGCCTGCCCTCGAAACACCCTTAAAAATTCATATTATTGCGGAAATAGAAATAATTTAAAAAATTTACCACTGCGACGCCAATTAGAGTGTGTTGATAAAATTTTGACAGAATATTAGTAAAA